AATAGATTTGACTCCTCAACATTTCTTTCTAATTCCAGGCGGAGTGAAGTACTACGTGGACCCGTCCACCTACGAGGACCCCAGTGAGGCGGTCAAAGAATTCGCCCGAGAGATCGACCCGACCCACCTGAAGATCGAGGAGGTGATCGGTGCAGGTAAACAGATCAATAACTCATTCAGTCAAACTGTTTTAATCTGTGACCAGAGAGTGACCGGCTCCTCCTCCTCCTCCTCTCCTCTCAGCCCAGTTCGGGGAGGTTTCTCGGGGTCGGTACCGCCCGATGGGCCGCAGGGAGGTTCTGGTGGCGGTGAAGACGCTGCGCTGGGGGGCGTCGGACCGGGAGAGGGGCATGTTCCTCAGCGAGGCCGGAGTGCTGGGCCAGTTCGACCACCCCAACGTCCTGAAGCTGGAGGGCGTCGTGACCAGAACCCCCCCGGAGCGGATCGTCACCGAGTTCATGGAGAACGGGCCTTTGGACGCCTTTCTCAGGGTGAGACCAGAACCTCCTCTTGGTCCTCAGATCCTCGTCTCCTCCAGACTCGAGTCGAGGCGTTTAATCGGACCGGACGTCGCTGATTTGAAACGCGTTGGTTCGATGCGACACATGTGCAGCATCTGTCCGCTGATGTTCTCCAGCTGCTGCCGTGTTTCAGGATCTCTGTCAGACCAGCAGAACCCTTAAACCCGGTTCAGGACTTTCATGTTGCCATACGGGTCTATTGGACCCCAAGAAAGAATATTTTGGTATTCATTATAAACTTTATGTTAAATACATTTTCTGATTAGTTGACATGTTTTTGGTTTGAAATACAAACAAATGTCCCTCTTTTATATTTAAAAACATACAAAATCCTTAAAAAACTGACAAAAAGAGCCCAAAAGTCCTGAATAGGATTCAAATAAACACAAAATTATATTTAAAAATAACGGTGGAACACTGTAATGTTTAGGAGCTGTGAGAATAACATCTGTAGAAATATTCATATTTACAGCCAGTTTGTCCAGTTTTATCTTCACTTTAACAAAACAGTAAAAACCTGTAAAATAACAGGTTAAAAAAAATGCTGTAACATTTTTCACTATAATATTTTTAAATCGTGTAATTTCAAGGTCAAATGTTCAAAAACAGTCGTCGTGTTAATTAAGTTTTTGTCTGTGATTTTATTCATCATTATCTTTAATTACACAAAAAAGGAAAAAGCCATAAGGTTTAAAAAACAAACAAACATTTTTTAACCTTTAATCTACATAATTTTTCTTTGAGATGATTGTAAATAACAGTACATTCCTATGATTTTTTCTCATTTCAATATTTAAAAAGTAATAATATTATGATTTAACATTTTAAAAGAATAATATTACTTGTAAAAACACAGATATTTCATGTGGACGTTATTCACAGTTCTGGTATAATTTCCACACAGCTAGTACATTTTTGTCAGCCTTTAATTTACACATATTTCCTTTCAAATTAAGGCAAACATCTGTAAGATAAAGATAATTTTAGCTGATTTAATCCCAGTAAAACAGTGTGATTACTAATTCACATACTGTTTAGATCAATTAGATTCAACTTTATGGTCACAAGTACAAGGCAATGAAATGCAGACAGCATCTAACCAGAGATACAAGCTACAGAATTAAATCCTATAAATATGGATGATGTGCAGTGATGCAAACTGTGCTTATTAAAATAGGAAAAGTCAGAACATCTGCACAACATAGGAAGGATTTACATCATGTACTTCTGTTTCACCAGAAAGTTCTGAGGTCGGTTCCAGGTGGAGGTGGAGGAGACGAGGAGGCTCAGATGGAGACATGTTGGTCCTGAACCTCCACAACAGGACCTAAAACATGTTCTGCTGCTTTGCCTCTTTCAGGAGAACGAGGGCCAGTTCAGCGTCCTGCAGCTGGTCGGGATGCTGCGGGGCGTCGGCGCCGGGATGCGGTACCTCTCCGAGAGGAACTTCGTCCACAGAGACCTGGCGGCCCGAAACGTGCTGGTCAACTCCAACCTGGTGTGCAAAGTGTCCGACTTCGGCCTGTCCAGGCTGATGAGGGGCCTGGACCACAACATCCCCACCTACACCGCCTCGCTGGTAGGTTCTGGACTGGGGAGGCCGCCGGGCTCGGTTCTGTGGTCCCTGCCTCACCGTCTGCTCTCGCTTCCATCAGGGCAGTAAGATTCCCGTGAGGTGGACGGCACCGGAAGCCTTCCAGCACCGCAAGTTCAGCTCAGCCAGCGACGTGTGGAGCTTCGGCATCCTGATGTGGGAGGTGATGTCGTACGGAGAGCGGCCCTACTGGGACATGAGCAACCAGGAGGTGGGTTCTGACTGGTCTGATTGAGGTTCTTCTCAGTTTGTGATGGAAACACTCTACACGCATCTCCAGAGTCCAATACAGAGTCATAACACAGCATTAAACATTAAAGTTCTGGAGCTCCTGAGGGGTTAGAACAGAACCAGCAGCTTTGAGTTTGTTGCAGAGACATAAAAAATGCACAAATAAAAAACCCTGATGAATTATGCATCAGATGTGTTGGAGGGAGTCGTCCTTCCTCCCCGATCTTCGGTTTTATTTTTATAAAAGAGAAGAAGCAGCTCCAGCCTTCACCTCAGCAGGTTCTAAAAACGTTCTGAGAAAGTTCTAGTCATGGAATTACTTAGAACGTCCTCTAAAATGTTGCACCTTTACTCCCGAATGTTCTTGAAATGTTCCCCAGATGTTGATTTGTTATCGTGTTTCTTAGACGAACTACAGGCTGAATGTTCTGCCTTTGTTTACGAACGTTTTAGAGAGAACGTTCTGTCATCTGAGACCTCGAGAACATCGGTAACGTTCTCTTGTTGAGGTTGTAGAACGTTGATTTGTTATCGCGTTTCATAGACAAACTACAGGCTTTGTTTAAATATTGTGTTTCTGGAACGTTTTACAGAGAACGTTCTGTCATCTGAGACCTCGAGAACATCGGTAGCGTTCTCTTGTTGAGGTCGTAAAACGTTCTTCTAGAACGGACTCCCACAGCGTTTCGTTGCAACAAAGAAAGAACGTTCTAGTCATGTAATTACTTAGAACGTTCTCTGAAACATTGGACCTTTACGCCACGATGTTCTTGAAACGGTCCCCAGATGTTGATTTGTTGTTGTGTTTTTATAGAGGAACTACAGGCTGAATGTTCCGCCTTTGTTTAAATATTACTGGAACGTTTTAGAGAGAACGTTCTGTCATCTGAGGCCTCGAGAACATCGGTAACGTTCTCTTGTTGAGTTTGTAGAACATTCCTCTACAACAGATTCCCACAGCGTTCCGTTATAACAAAGGAAGAATGTTCTCAACGCGACATTTAAAAGATGTTGTCGAGACGTTCTTGTAATGTGACAAACAAACAAAGGTGGAATGTTCTGCCTGCAATGTTCTGGGGATGTTTTGGGGTTATGGTTATAATAAGAATATTTAAAAAGCACTTTTCAAGAAATGCAGACGCTTACAAAGGTAGACAACCACAGAAGAAGACAAACAAATAAATACAGAAATAATTACGTTCTTACAACGTTCTCAGTGCGACGATGTCATGCAGATGTTTTAGGAAGAACATTTTTAAGAATATCTTCAGGAAACTTCGTCCCGTCAACATTCTGGGAACTGAGCACTTCCTGTTTTAACATCCCCAGAACTATTCAGGTTCTGATGTTTTCTCAACAGATCCGTTTGAAACGTTCTGTAGATGTTCTGCTTAAGTAACGCTCTGCTGCTGTTACATAACGGACACATTTAAGCGGTGACGAAGCAGCAGCTGAACTCATCTCTGAGTCACCGTGAGCCCGGTGGTCACCGACCTTCATTACACAACCGCCGTCTGTTCTGTCTGCAGGTGATGAAGGCCGTGGCGGACCAGTACCGCCTGCCCGCCCCCCACAACTGCCCCGCCGCCCTGCACTCCCTGATGCTGCAGTGCTGGCAGGCCGACCGGGGAGACCGGCTCGGCTTCGACTCGCTGCTGTCCTCCCTGGACCGGCTCATCCGGCACCCGGCCTCGCTGAAGGCGGAACCGACCCGGTGAGGACGTCAGAACCGCGTCAGAGGCGGCAGGCAGGTAATGAAGGACCGGCGGCGGATTCTCACCATCTGATCTGTGACTTTCCAGAAGCTGCTCCCAGCCGCTGCTCAGCCCCACCCCCACCGACCTGTCCGCCGTGGCCACGGTCAGCGATTGGCTGAAGGCTCTGAGGATGGAGCGGTACCAGGACGAGTTCGACCGGGCTCACCTGGACACGCTGGACCGAGTCAGCAGGCTCACCATGGAGTGAGTATACGGAGGCTTTATGGACCAACACAGGCTCCTTTTCTTTCTTTTGTTCGTGTTGGAACGAATCAGCAGATCTGCTTAAAAACAACATTTTAGCTCTGAGCTCCAAATAAAGCAGCTTCTCTCATTTTTCACTACAAAATAAAGTCCTGCATCTTTATGGAAACAGAACAACCACGAAGGAGGAGAGAGAAGTCAGTACGACACAGTCCGAATGCTGGAAATCAGAGAAAAAGACAAAAATGAACAAATTTAAAAACCTGGAATCGACACGTTTCTAAGTGTTTGTGCTTCATTTTTAATGGATTTCCACCATCGTCTCTGTGGAAACACTGCCTGCAGTTCAGTCCATGCCGCCTAAAAACGTCCTGAATTGTTGTCATGTTGCTGCAGCAGTCAGTCACAGATTCTTAGTTGTGCAGAGGAGTGCAGATTTTTTATTTTTTTACAGAATCTGATTCGTGCAAACTGTATTTTTAAAGGATTTTTAAATGATACACGTAGAATAAAGTAATTTTGATTAAATATTACAACTCTAAGCTTGAATTTCCCCAAACATTGTAAGTTCACCACCTGTTGGAAAGTTTAAATTTCTGTTTTTAGAGTTTCCGACTGAGTCATTTTTAAGAACACACACCTGCTGCAGAACATCCACAGTCTTACGTGAAAAGCTTTAAATGTTCCATAAACGCTGACTAAAACGCTGTGTTGTGAACTCTCCCTCAGAGACGTCCAGAACCTGGGCGTGAACCTGCTGGGCCACCAGAGGAAGATCGTGATTGCGGCCCAGCAGCTCAGAGCTCACCTGAACCAGGGCCAGGTGGAGGTGTGACGTCCCTCCGCTGGTTTCCTGACGAGCACGGAGCACGTTTCAAGCCAAAACTAAAGAGAACCAGCGAGCCGTGGCACTCTGATCAACCACAACCAGGAGAAATCAACAAGAAAAAAAAAACAAACAGGGCTCGGATTTTTCCCGCCGAGACAGATGCACTCTGGGAGCTGCGGTCCGGGTGGCAGTGAGGCTGCTGAGGACTTCTTTCCTTTGTGTTTTCTCCAGGGTTCACTCTGTCTGCCTTCCTCCCTCCTCACCTCCTGCCCTTCAAACTCTTCCTCACCGAGTACAGTCTTTTTGTTTCGTTCTGTTGAATATTTAGGGAGATCTCTCCTCACAAAGAATTGCGTGAAGACAATCAAAGCCTTTTTGTTTTTTTCTAATATTTTTCAAGTTATTTGTAAAACTTATATCACTTCCTCAAAACTTAAAATGCCAAATGTTCAGGAGGCGGTGCGTTGCCGGAACAATCAGGTCAGCAGTTTGCTAAAAGTCCAAAACCGGTCCTGCAGCACCGACACCGCCGCGAGTCGAGCTTAGCAGACGAATCACGAACAGACTTCACGTCGGCTTCGACACAAACCGCTCTGACAGAAAACACCTTGTCGTGTACATTTCACACTTCACCTCTTTCTGTTTCTAAAGTAAAGACACTGAGTCATTGGAGCGTCGTGAATGTGTGAAACGGGAACGACGGATGGAATCGGATCTGATTTACACTTGAAGGAAGGAAGCGTGTGTGTGTGTGTGTGTGTGTGTGTGTGTGTGTGTGTGCGTGTGTGTGCGTGTGTGTGTGTGTGTGTGTGTGTGTGTGTGTCGGGCTACACACACTGCTAGCTGTTTACTTGTGCGAGTGTTCACCACTATTCCGTAATAATTGTGCAAATTTGTAAAATAAATATGATTTTATTTAAAGAATGCATTTGCTTCTGTTGTTGTCGTCTCTCCTGATCCACGTGTTTTATAAACTATTCTGTTAAAAACATAGATATAGTTTAGTCGCTGCATGGCTGCAGATAAAAGAACTCTTTGCTCATGTCTTCACCTCCTTCCAGTCAGTGTTTGTTAGAGTCACCTTTAGCTGCAGCGCCATCATTGATCCT